AATAATGAACATAAAACATCAATAATATTATTTATTATCGGAATTATCATGGAAATGAATTATTCTACGATAGGCTAACGATCGTTTGCATATTGCATGTCGAACGCAGTGAAAAATTGATGAATTGTACCGGGAACGTTTGATTCATCTACACTACACGAATAATTCATTTATCAAAATGATTAATTCCAGAAAATGAACAGTAGAAAATTTGATTAATAACTAATCGACTGATTTCAAATTTAGGATCCACATTTCATAATTATCAACAATAAATAATCCTTTACGATTATTATGTATTATGTTTTCTATTGTTTATATACGATCTCATCTATCAAGGTCACATCAAGGTCAACGCTTTTCACGTGAGAACGTCTTTCGTACATGAGATATGGCAGCTGTCTTCTGCAGAGACTACAAACTGCTCCAAAACTACAGCTAACTTCGGTTTGTTAGAGAAATTAATTATAATAATGAAACACAAGAACAGAACTAATACAGCGATACATTTATTGAATTTCACTGAATATAAAGAATCTCAAATTAACTCGAATTAATCTGTGAAATTTCAAACGATCAATTCGTTCTTATTTTACATCTGTCGATCCAAGCTTCCGGTGACTTATTAACCGTATACATTATATATCATTAATAAGTAACGTAGCATACCAATTACTTGAAATATATATTATAACAGTAAATATGCTATTTGTCGTTTGGATTAATCTAGATTAAAATGTAAATTTGCTAGTATGAGCCCTAACCTTTTCAGTTTGCTTTAATCCCTTTAGTTTTTTAAATTTTCTTTAGTTTTCTTTAGTTTTCTTCAGCTTCCTTAGCTTCTTTAATTTCTTTATGTAGCTTTCAGCTTTCTACCTTTTCTTATTTAGTTTTTAATAGTTACTATCTTTTACTTTAAACGTTTGTTTGGTATAAAGCCATTTGAAAAATTTCAAAATATCAGAAGCCTTATCAGAAAGAGATTTCGAATTGTTCAACTATCTTTTATTGTTTCCTTCAGCGATCGATCAGCGAGCGTCGTTCGAGTGCAAAAACTTGCGAACGAGTTGGAAAGTTCGATCGCCTCGAGATGCATTCGAACTTTCTCTGTCTCTGAGGCTTAAAAGCGAGCTATCGACGTTCTCCCTCCCGCGCGATATCTAAGACTGCAAGCATCAAACAATAACGCAAATTCTTTGCAGTCTACGAAATAATTAGACCGTAGTCATTTAATAAATCATTTATCATTAAATTATTGTTCAAATTTTTATTTCGTTTCATTTAATCATTAATTGAATTATTATTATTATTATTTAAATTAGTTTCATCTGCACTATAATTACGAAACAGTCTATTTCAAATTTCTTATTTGAGAATTTACGTTCCAGGAAATAACTGCAATGCATTAAATTAATAAATCAACGTTTTGTTGAGATTGGAACTATCAAATGGATTTCTTTCTTTATAATTTACTTTGCAGGAAATAATTATAGTACTTTGATTTAACAGATTAAATTTAATATAAATGATCCATTTTAGATTTCTTTTCTTAAGAATTTAGTAAATTTACTTCCTACGGAGTAACTATAGTACACTGAGTTAATAAATTAGGGTTTTATTAACGATAGAAATACCAAATATTTGATTTTCTTTTATAATTGAATGGAAACCTTGAGTAAGAGTCTATAGTGCGTTTCAGCTAAAGTTGCATTAACAATGAAACGTGTTTCTACGGCTCAGTCAATCGTTTCGAGACATACAGGTTGCAGATATTGCGTCAGAAAGCGATATAGCATATAACACAAGAAGCACGCTGAGAGTTTGAAACTTATGGGAAGTTGAAAGCATAGTTTAGAAGTAGGTGTCCAAATATTTGTATACATCTAATTAAAAAAGTTCTAGCTGAGAAGTTGTGTTCAATCTTCGATTAAAATATTATGTATTCTTCCACGAAATAACTTTCACTCGTC